TGCCGTTGTCTTAAAAAGTGAGACCTTGCCATAAATAAGCCAGGATCTCTGGGTCCGATGCGGGGTCTTTGCTGGGTCACTTGCGGCACAGGAGAGCCTGGAGGGATGGAGGACAAAGGAACATGATGTTCAGAGGAGGCAGGTTTCAAGCCGAGCCTTGAGAGGAGGGATCATTAGAAAAGCCCGTGGCTGTTTTCCAGGGTCTCAGTCTAATGGTGTTTATTGGACCTCAAATCAGAGTGGGATCAGTGTGAGAGGCCACTAAAATACAAGGATGCAGCTCTCCTGCTAAGCGCCAGCCCTCTCAGGAAGACTGGACCACCTCGGGCTGGTGCAGATGGTGACCGAGCCTGTATGGTAACCCACGGGTTGATCTCATTCTGGTTCGTTTTTCCCCCTTTTTGTCCAGGCATCGTTTCCGTGCACCTCAAAAAGGACAGCCTCGGCAACCTGACCCTGATCGCCAGCCCCAGCCTGCAGACGGAGAGCTGCGGCCGGCTGGATAATGCCATCGGCGACTCCTCGGTGACGATATGGCACAAATGCAAGTGGGCTGCCGGCACCGGCAGCGAGCACACGCTCGTCAAGTGGAGTCACACGCAGCTCACCAAGACCTTCAAAGACAGGTGGGGGTCTGCTGCTCCCTGCAAACGTCCTCTTGGTCCTCACCTGCCGCTTTGGGTAGGGTCTAAACCAGGGTGGTTTTGGTGGCACAACTCCTGGTTTAAGGCAAAGTGAGCAAAAGCGACGCCCAGCCAAGGTGAAGAAAAGCAAAGCCCAGCTTGGTGGCTTCATGGTTCATCTCCTCCCTGGCTTGTGGATGGAGCGGGGCAGATTTGGCTATCGCTGAGAAACTGTTGCTCAAATATGTGCCTCAAACTCTACTTTAAACCTGTTTCCTCGGAGCGCAGCATGCTCCAAAAGGAGGAGAGGCCCCATGAGAACAGCCACCGAGCACACGGCACGTAATGGCCTTCTGCTGGTAACCAGCCAGAAGTAGCAGCCTCGAGGTGGTTCGATCCTGTCCTCGTCCCAGGGGAGAGCTGTCTCTGAAAGGCATTGCAGTGCTTGCAAGCACACCGCGACCTTAGGGCTTGCAGAAGCTTTCCGCAAGACATCTTTCATCTCCAACTGGTTCAGAGAAGACCTAGGTCAGCTACGCCTGAAGGGTGCAACATTCCTACCGTGAAACCGCTGCCCTCAGCGTGATGGGGGTTACGGGTTTTGGATGAGCGAGACCAAGGAATGACGCTCCAAGGAGAACAAATCTCCTCGTCGCTCCCTGCCTCCCCTCCTCAAAGCCAGCCCCTCTAAATTGAGAATCATTCCTATTGTTGGACAGTTTGCCTGTGTTGTGCCCGTTAGGTAGATAAATAGAGATTCCTGGTCATTGGCGCTACGAATGGCGCTTTTCATAGGAGCCAAGCACACTTTGAAATTATAATGAAAGAAAATATTGGCACCCAGCAATAGCTGGCTTTCTGAAAATTACTTTTACAGAGTAACAAAGGATCTCCGCAGGTTGGACGTGATGAATATGTTTCCTTTGAGAGTCCCTGAAAATTTACCTTATCAAGTTTGAGGCTCTACAAAAGAGGAGGGGAGACAATATTCTCTTCTGGAGCTTATAAACCAAACGTGTTCTTTTGTGTGTTTTGTCTAGCTGTCCGGGGAAGATGCTATTGAGGACAGACCTTCAGTACCGCACAGATTCACTTTTGGAAGATGCAAACAGAAACCAGCCAGAAAGAAACAGCTACAACCCCTGGGGACTGCACTGTCACAGGCAGCACCTGAACCGCATGTCCTCCAAGCACAATGAGAACAAACTTCATCGTATCCTTTGTCTTCTCTCCCCTCCAGCATAGTCTTGGCTACAAATAACAGCTCGTAATCAATGTACGTGTTACCGCAGGGGGTATGCATCCCTCCTCTGCCCAGTCCCTGGGAAAATACAGAATATACAGAATATAGTTGCTCTGTTATCTTCTCCCAGTGTTCAGTTGGACTGGATGGTCATTGTAGGTCCCTTCCAACTGAAATATTCTATTCTTAAAAAAAGAAAAAAACCACTTCCCATAAAGGGTATTCAGCATAAGTCAAGGATCCCCTTGGCATACATTTAAAAATACGACTATATAGGCATTAGCAGCTGCCTTGCCTTTTATTTTCCTATTACACTTCATTACCTACCAGTCATGTGAGTAATACAGCTTAACAACTCCCACACCCATTGAGTACAGCACTGAGGCAAGGTGTCGGACTGACAGCCCAGGGCTATCGTGTCACTAGAGAATGGAGCTGTTGGTGCTTTAATTGGTAAGACTGTACTACAGTAAATTAACTGAAATTGGCAGCAAGGGGCCTATAGCAATGACATGTTGGTGAAATTGGCTTAGAAAGTCTCATTACAGTTGTGAGCTATTATGGAGAGCGTCAGCAGTTGCTCTGATTTAAGACCTCTTTCAATTAGAATTTAAAAATATTGGGTTTCCCTTAACTCATGTTCAGAGTTTCTATTGCTCGAAAATGTGGTATCAAAATACAACTATCCCTGCATCCTGGACTTAAAGATGGGAACCCGGCAGCATGGCGATGATGCCTCGGAGGAGAAGAAAGCCCGGCACATCAAGAAGTGTGAACAAAGCACCTCTGCGTCTCTGGGCGTTCGCATCTGCGGGATGCAGGTAAGACGGAGCCTCCGTCCTTCTGGTGTTTGCCCGACACACGGCTTGAAACCAAGCTGGAAATGGAAAGGGACTCTGTCCTTTGTTGGTGTAAACTGAAGCAGTTTCATTCCTGTCTCCCTCCATATACAGGCTGTAAGAAGTGGCCGCTCGGCTGTGTGTCCTATCCTCAAACAGGAGAGGATGCTTAGGGAAGAGTATAGAATATGGCACATAGAGGGTAACCCTTGCCCATATCCCCTCTTTGACCTCTGGAGATTTGGCTGCTTTCACAAGCGGTGGCTGCATAAGCACCACCCCGCACCGCTGCCACCAGTGTGAGCAGCTGGAACCAGTTCACCCCAGCTGAGAATCTGCCTGTACGTGAACACCGATTCCCCTCTCGTGCTCAGCTCTTGGCTGCTGCACAAGAAAGAAAAACAATAAAAGCATCCCTTGCCCCGCTCACGCCTTCGCAGAGCTGTCTCATCCTGTCGCCGCAAGAGCGAGCGGTTTATTTTGTGCTAAATATTATGGTTCCTCTTGCTCAAAATCGCTGCCCTTCCTCCTAGAAACCGAAACCACGCATTTGTTTCACTCACTTCTCAAGCAGGTTGCAAAATGTTGTTCTGCTCTGCCCGAAGGATAATTATGACGATGATGATTATAGAACACATATACAGCAGTGTAAACGCTCGGTGTCAAAACCTGTGTCCCCTTCTGGTCTGTGACATGCTTCTGTTGAGCAGAGTATCCTTTAAACTACCACTGGCGCGTGAGCTAATTCTAAATTCACTCCCTCGTTTCTTACTCAGTGTTACCAGAGCCTCACATACAAATTTCTGTCTACATCTTGCCTCTCTGTGCTTAAGAAAGCAAGATCACTGCTAGCCGTGCGTTACGTATTGCGAGGCGGTACAAAGCTGGGCTATTCCGGTACTGCTGCAAACTCCTGCCGTAGCCAGAGGGAAAATGCTGTAAATCACTAGCGACACGGCTATGACTTACAGCTATTTGGGTTTCACAAAGGGGTAATTTAGAGCAGTACAACCAGAATCTGCACTAGTGGTTTAAATTGAATAGTTTAAATCTCCAGAAGAGACAGGAGGTGGGATTCGGTGAGAAGCCTGCAGTACATTGCCAGCGTTGCTGGATATTGCCAGACTGCAGCGGATTTGTGTCCCATTTCTCAGCTTGGGTCTGACCTTTTTAGATTGGGGTGAAATCTAGAGCTTTGGGAAAACCGAACGACTGAATCTGGATTGTTGCTCTCTTTCCTCAAGGTTTACCAAGCGGACACTGGCCATTTTCTCTGCAAAGATAAGTATTACGGCAGGAAACTCTCACCGGAGGGATTCAGGCAAACCTTGCGCCAGTTCCTGTGCAATGGTAACCACCTCCGAACGGATCTCCTGGAGCCCATCATCCTGCGGCTAAAAGCTCTGCTTTCTGTCATTAGGAAGCAAAGCTCTTACAGGTTCTACTCCAGCTCACTTCTCATAATTTACGATGGACAGGAGCACAAGGAGAACACGGCACCCTTGGATAATCACCTTCACTTCCAAAAAACAAACTGCACCGCGTCACACGGCACTAATCACTCCAGAGTTGACGTCCGGATGATAGACTTTGCCCACACCACTTTTAAAGGCTCCAAATGCAATCACACCACTTACGACGGGCCAGACCACGGCTATATTTTTGGTCTGGAGAACCTCATCAAAATCCTTCAGAATATCTCAGAAGGAAAGTGACAAACTCCGTGAAATAGCCTGGATTTACTAGTGACCGACAGCCCTGAAAAGTACCGCGTTGGGTCAGTCGTACGGGACCCTCGCTGCTGGATGTCACGTGCACGGTTTGGGGTGAGAGCGCGGACAGCTTGCTAGGAAAGTGCAAAAAACGCTATGCGCCATTACCGAACTCAAGCGTAAAAAGCCAAGAGCTGAAAGAATCTGTTCTGCCTGCAATCAATCAGAAGATTTATTTTCCTTTCTTGTTTTACTGCTGTCCTTGATTTATTCGTGAGCCAAAAGAAAGCATTACTTGAAAGAGTCTGGATGATAAAACAGGACCTGCTCACCTCTACACTCCCGAAGCCAAGCGGGCTGAGGAGATACTGTGCGTTTGAGCGAGACTATTAAAATGAGCTGCCAGCTCCGAACGGATTGCAGCGTTACTTTCAACTCGTGCTCCATGCTACGGGCTGAACGCAAAGACGCACGCGGGAGAGAAGAACGCACACCCTGGCATTCACGCTCCCCATGCCCAGCGCTTGCGAGACGGTCGGGTGTTCTCCGTACAAGCGCGGGTGTTGAAACACAGACGTACGAGATGCCGCAGAGGCTCTGTGCCGCCCGAGGTGGAAAAGCAGGGGGGCCTCAGACCAAGAACCGGACCTTGCAAAGGTTTAACTTCCCCGCGGGATTCTAACAGGGCACGTTTCAGAAACTTTCTAAGCAAGGGGCTCCGTTGGGGCTGGAAGTACGGCAGTGCGATGAGTCTGTCAGATATCAGTCACAGAAAACATTCACATCGAGGTATTTTTGCTTAAAAAAAGAAAAAAAAAAAAAAAGCGTGAGACTGACTCAGGGACTAGACATTAAAGGTCACCTAGAAATTCTTTGATACAAATATTGTGTGTGTGTTTGGAAGAGGCAATAACAAAAGACTCAAAATAATGTTTACAGCTTTTGTGGACAGATTTTATTATTACGGAACAAACATAATTCCTTCCTGCGTGGTGTGGGAATCCCGAAAGACAAGTCCTTACACAAGGACTAGAGCTACAGAACCCCGTTACTGGGGAATGGGGATATAAATAAAATTGCCCGAGTAACTCCCACTTGTTGTCCATCTCTTTTGCACTTCCACAGCATCCTTAAGCTACGTGATCTTTTATTTAGGGCTGTATGTTTTGAGGGGAGCTGTTACTTCCACAGGTTTAAACACCAGGTCTCAAGGAAGACCCCTGCACTTGTATTGTGAATTGCTACGAGTTATTACTGGAAAATTTAAGTCATCTGGCCCAGCTGCATCTTTTACTTGCCCTGCAGTCCGTCTGGGAAGACCTCATCGTTTATTTACTGGGTATCCTTCACGGCGTTGCGCGTTTCTCGCCCGCAACTCGGGCGACTATAGACAAAAAGCCACGGGCGC